GGTGATGGTGATGGTGATGGTGATGACAGTGATGAAAACATTTAAAACCAAGGCACTCTTGTTTTTAACGTATATGTTTTCTCTGGTCCGACATTTCTGATCCTGGTTCAGGTCCAGTACATCATCTCACAGGATGGACAGCATCTGATTCCTCAGGAGTATGTAGTAGTAGCTGATGGCACACAGCTGCAGGTCAGTGCCCCCCAACCTCAACACATTAACAGAGGGGGGTTAAGGGAGGTAAAGTGCAACAATTATTGAGATTGAAATCGATTTGCTTCACCCACAATAGCCATGTGCACCATTGGGACCTTGCCCCATGCTTTGGGAACCACAGCTTTATATAAAATTTATTTCAGTTCATGTCTCCAGTTCTAAAAAGAAACTCTGAATTTTGCATGACGCTCTACAGCAGTGGTTCCCAAAATAGGGGATACAGACCTATTCCAGGGAAGGTGCTGCAAGGCAAGGACATTTATAAATGTCTTCCTTCTTTCACCCACAGCGGGTAGAATTCAATGATTTCTATTTTCATTACTGTTAGTTTAATAATAGTAGTTTTACAGGAGTGCTGAAACTAAAGCTGATAGTCTGGAAGTGAATGTTGTACTTTAAGATGAGACCGTGCTGATGTTTCTGATCTTTGTTTGTCCATGTTAGATGTCTGATGGACAGATCATCCAGTACGAGCACGACGGCTCCTTTATACAGGAGCAGCAGGTAACGAAGTCAACGAGCTGAAAGCACACACACACTGTCCTCATTTATTATTTTTTATCCAATCTAACTGCTCTTTGTACTTAAACGTGTACAGATTGCTGTGAGTCATGATGGTCAGATCCAGTATGTTCCTGTCACCTCAGAGCAGCAGGTTGTCAATGCTGAAGACCTGGAGGCTGCAGCCCACTCTGCTGTCACAGGTGTGTTGTCTAATAGAACAGAATGAACTTCAGGAATTGAATAAAATGTCTATCTATTAAATTAAATGAAAATGATTGAGAATGATGAAAATGATCTTCACCGAGCTGATTTTACTTCCTAATCTATTTTGTTGCGTGTTCTCTAATCTGAAGCCCCTTATTGACCAGCTTTTGGTTTGTTTTTTTTGTTGGAATTCTTGCACCATATTTGATATAAAACACTGAAGGCCCACTTTGTATATGTAGTATTATTTTGACAGCCAGTTTTGATTGAGTCACAATATTTTGGACAGAATTGTAAATTAGTCTTTGTCCCAATTTAGTCAACAGAACTGTTTTAATTGTAATATATATATTATAATAATGTATAATATTTTTAATATATATCTGTGTGTATATATAATTACTTTTAGTAGACCTGTGTAATGTAATATTTTCATGTTAAAAATATTTGTTTTTAAAATGTTTTTTTAATTAACATAAACTTATTAAATCCTACAACAATTTTTACAGTATTCCACAAATTGACCAGATCATACACACTACTGTATTCATACCATCTTCTGTTTGTTTTTCTTTTAAACTCCCGCCTTCAAAACAGCTCTGACTTACATGTATTTGATTTAAAATGATTATAATCTGCACTTATTGTTTTTATTATTTGACAAATGCATTAATATAATACTTTGACATTGTTGAAAAAAGTTGGCTTTGACAGAAATTAGAAGTCGACAAAACGAACACAGACAACATGAAGGATACATTGTTTAATATTCCATTCTTAATGGCAGAAACTAAGAGAATAACGTTTGTTCTTACAGCAGTGGCAGAGACGGTCTACACTGAAGCCACTCCTGAGCAGCTGGAGCAGCTGCAGCAGCAGGGCATCCAGTATGACGTCATCGCCTTCACTGAAGAATAGAAGGTTTTTATCAGACTACAGACTTGCACCGTGCAGGACCAACACAGACCAGGATATACTGACAAGTACGTAATGTACAGGCCTCGACGTATTTATGCATTGACTAAAGCAGCTTCTCTCCTTCACACTGCTGTGTGTCTCCTGGGTGGTTGGACTGTTAATTTTGTAAAATAAAATAATTGCACCCATTGTTAACTTAATTATAGAGGCTGTGCATTTAGGAGCAGGATTGTGACTATTGAAAACGATGCGTTCTTGTGCCTCAACTGCTTTGCAAGACAATGTTATGAAATATGAAAAATGTTGTTGGAAAGTATCTAGAAAACATTTTATTATCAGATGGAGATTATGCAAAAGGGAAAGTGTTTTTTTTATCTGTTCTAAGAAATGTCATTTGCTTGAATGTTACCTCGTTGTGTAAATACTTTTGCATTTGTCTTCTGTTCTAAATGGGCTTTATGTTTTTTTGTTTTTAGTTTTTTTTGATTTGGTGATGATGAAGTGTTCAATAAGCTGAAAGCTGACACCAAATAAACAACCTTGTTTAAATGTTTGCTATATTCACCAATGATGTTCCCCAATTATATCTCTGTATATATATTTATATATAATATAAACAATTTTTTATATATGTAAATATATAATGTATAAAAATGTCATTTATATAACATAATATATAAAAAGCTTTTTTATATATATTTCTTTTTTATGTTGCTTAGCAGATATGTCATTCTAAATCCAAAAAGCAATTTGTCATTTGTCAACATGGGCTTTTGCCCCAGTAATCAACAGTATACAAAACTGGAATATCAGAAAAACACTAACATCTTGACGAAAAACAGTTCAGCACTAAATAACATGACAAAAGCTACTATCAATTTGAATAAGAATATAAGTTTTTCCAAAGGAAGTGAAAAAATGAAGTGACACCTTCCTCTTTTCAGTGTAAGGAGGAGCCTCAGTTTCTTTAAGAATAGGTTCAACACTTTACAAACAAATATGCTGAGACTCCAACACTTGACATGACACTGAAGATGACACTAATCTTTGTTTTTCTCCTGTTGTTGGGTAAGTTTTAACACACGCTGAACACATTTAAATGTTTTTATTTTAAACTGCCTTATTGACCTCAGTTTTTTTTTTGTTTTTTTGTTTTTTTTCCAGATCTACCATGTCCAAACGGGCAGCAAAACATTGAGGAGTTTGACACTATTCTGCTGAGACTCACTTTCCCTTCGGCTTACAATACTTACAACAAGTCCTGTTGTAAACTCTACTATGGTGGCTGTTACCCGATGCTGGATACCTTAGGATATACCATCGATTTCTTTAGAGGTAGAGTCACAAAAACCGAAAGTGACGGTTGGATTGAATTCAAAATATCCAAAGCGCAGATTCAGGACGCAGGCTACTACAGATGTCAAGTGGTGGGAATGCAATACATGTATATGGACTACAATGTGCAGATCACTGGTAAAAAAGACAAACAAAAAAAAACATAATAATTAACCTTCGCCCTATTTATCAAGTCTTGTCATATATGTTGCATTTTGCAGAAGTTAAAAATCCTCGGAGTCTGTCTCGGCCCTTACGGACAACAACCATCAAAACTGTCAAATCGTCCACATCCGTCCCATCACCCTCCACTGGTTCTGTTCTGTCACATGTGGAGCACAGGTAGTTAAGTATTTCAACTTCTCTCCAATGTTGCAGTGTAAACAGTTTTTTTTCTCAGTCTTGTTTTTGTTTACTTCGCAGCTCCTCCTGGATCACTGGCCCCACTCTTATTGTTGTTGTCTCCATCCTGGTGGTGATTGTGATCGCTGGTGTTATCTGCATTGTGTGCTTCAAAAAGAAATCTAATAATAAACAGTCTGGTGAGATGTTCCCTTATTTGGATCATGTGACGGATTTAGAAACAAAGCTTTGTACCTGAATAAATAAAGACTAGTGTGGCAATTTTTTTTTTCGTTGCAGACAAACATGGAGAAACACTTTGTGAGTCACTGAAACAAGATGCTGTGGTAAGTGCAAAAATGGAAATCTGTGGCCTTTGTGACTCACTCACCCACAAGGGCCACAGTATTCACATGTATTCCTTCCTGATCTGCTCTGGTTATTGACAAATATTGTCTTCTGCAGGACACGGGCAGCGTAGTCTACACCACGTTGAACTTCAAAGCTCATAAGAAACCCTCAGTCGTCTATGAGAACTCCAAAACGTGTGCAGGATCCCCTGAGGTGGAGCATCCTGACAGGGTGGAGTATTCAACGCTGGCAATTTACCAGAGAATATCAGTCTGAGGTAGTTCTACAATGACCTAATTTTAATAGTTTTTTTGTTGTTGTTTTATTTTTTTATGAATCCTACATGTTTATATCTAAATATCAGTTCAGAAGTTACATTTAGTGTTTGAAGCTAAAGATCAGGCTGGCATTTAAGAAGTGATCTGTCTGAAGACCAACGTGGCTCTGTCTGACTCTGGGGATGACAGCAAAACAAGTGTGTTCAAAGAGTGAGATACGACTGTTAAATCTCAGGTTATGTCTTCTCATCCACGCTCCTCCTCTGGATGATAACCTCTGCTATTCTTAGTGCTGCCGCTCGATATTCTTTTCTCCACGTCTCTTTATTCCACACTCTGTCACAAAAGATAAAATGTCACAGAAGAGAAAATCAAAGGGCAGTGTAACGTGTGGGTTTTGACACAGATCTGACGGTCCACAATGTTCGATTCTAAAGTTTTAATAAGGAGCCGGTGTCTGAAGTCCTGGTCTCTGATGGACTAGACTTTTCTTATTCTTGTGACTTTTTAGTGCAAATCTAGGCCGCTGAACTACTTCAACTAGTTCAACTGCCATACTCCCAAGTATTATACTGTCTGTTGTAGTGGACACTGCTGTTAGGGTGCTGTTTGGTTTGCTCGGTCTGGACAGGTGTGAAATCTCATCTAAAATTTGGTGCAGACCAACAGATTGATCTCAGTTCCGCCTCACAACTTGGGTCCTGGTTCATTAAGGGAATGTCCAAAGAGAGAGACTGAGAGAACCACAGAGGAGAGGTCACAAGAAAAAAAAATCATAATAGTGCAAAAGTGCATGGGGCATGGACTGATAGTTATAGATGGTCGGACGACAGATTGTTGTTTTTTTAAAGATTCCCACTTTGATTCCGTCGGTCAATGATTTTTGCCTTTTGCTTTTTCGTTCCTGGCTTTTGAGCAAACTCCAAATTTTTATTTTATGTTATTATTTCTAATTAAAGAAGCCTTTTTAAATGTAGTTTAATTAATGGATTTTTATTATTATTGTAATGTTATCTCTTTTAAGCAACACAAATTTAGAAAGGTTTAAAATCTCCTCTGTAAATGTAACCAATCTTGTGTTTTATTTTTTGTCCAAACTTGTCCGACATGATAACAGCAGCCACTTGAATCTTTAGTTAATGCTGCCTTGAATGTTATATATATATAAAATATATTCTTTATAAGAAAAAAATATCTTCATATCTTTTTTCCTTATTGGTGTTTAGACAACTGACTTTTGCAGTAGTTGTAAGGTCGAGTCCAACTGAGCTGAGAGACGTAGGCAAAGGCGGCGATAGTAACTGGGTTTCCACTGACAGTAAAGGCAGCATCAGGCGTGCTCTGCATGTTTTGGCAGGTCACTGTAGTCTGTTAGAGGACCATCACACTCCGTGCAGTGGAACAGGCTTGATTTATTATTTTTTCACATGTTTCCAGCTGAAGCAGGTAGAGCCGTTTGACTTAATTATTTGTACTTGAGAGTTTTGACGTCAGCGCATTACATGGCAGTTTACTGTGGTTTCAGAAAAAAAGGGAAAATCCTTGTCAAATAGTATGGAGTCACGGTATGACTCACTGCTCCGTCCTGGTTGGTTGAAGCTCCAAACCATGCATTCATGCCGCTGAAGTCACTGGTGGAGCCAACAATAAGGGAGGTTCCAGTGTCAATGATGTCCTAGCCCAGAGTAAACCTCAGACTGTCCGCTGATGTTCCTCTGAGCAGAAGGAGGAGAAGGAGCAGAAAACACAGAAGACACAAGAATCTCCGACTTGAACTTGAGTTCATTGTGTCATTTATGGTCACGTTAACCAAATTCTTCAAGAGCTACATGAACAGACAGTAGATGTCTTTGTACCGGACCATCTGGATCACCCAGTCCAGGCCAAAGGTCACAGAGACCCAGGTGATTTCTCCACTGAAGCATTCGCTGGCCACATCACCAAGGATTCCCTCACCGTCTGCCTGACTGTTGCTAGGAGATGTAAACAAACACATTTAATACATGAAAAAAACAACCCTCATCAAGCTAAATGAACAACACACTGCCAAGATTTCCATCCTCCTTCAGTTCCCTCTTAGATACACAGGGAACTGGTCCCAGGACATGAGGTTCAGTTTGACCAGGTTGTTGAAGACAGGGTCGACATTGTCTGGAGCGGTGCTGTGGAAGCTGAAATACAGGATGTCATCAGTCTGCATGTAAACACCTGGTGGACCACAGGGAGTCTGTCCACCTGGACACAGAGGACAGCTGTTAGTTACAGTCAGGACCATCTCAAAGATATTGGTGCCAGCCTAGAAGTTTAGACTGGATTTGTTAAGTATTAGCTTCCAAAGATAGTTGAGGAAGAAGAAGAGGTTAGTGATCTCTGCTGGGCGTTATTGCAATTTCCTTTTTTGTTTTCCCAAGCAATTTCTTCCAAAACATACCACTGAGTCAGAAGTTCCGCAGTGGTCTGTGACAACAAATATGAGCCATACTCACTGTTACTCTGACAGTGACAGCATCAGTGCAACATTTTATGCTGATGATACTGTCATTTCCGCATGTCATAGCTACCACCCCCGTCCCTGGTTTCATACTTAATGTACAGTCAAAATTCAGGATTCTTAAAAAAATAAAATTGAAACTCTATCACCCTCCACTCACCTTCCACGGTTTACTCATTTAATTGGTATAGGTTTATATTTGTACTTCGTGTCGTGTGAACTTTTACTTCTGAAATTCAGGGGTTAAACAGAACCAAATATTCCACTTTAGAATAAAACGTGTGCATCAAAAGTCACAGTTCCCAGTAGGTTATCGTTTTGGCTAAAGTATTAACTTGTGGTTGTCAGTCAATGCAAACTGTTCTTCAATAGAAACCAAATTGTAAAAATATGGCTCCATTTAATAATAATATATAATCCTGTTGTTTATTTGTATTTATTTGTTTGTCATAATATTCGTCCATTCACACTGTGTTTATCCACGTGAACATTAAATACAGACCAGTTGTTACACGATTCATCTCTTAATATATTTTATTGACAACAGTTTATCTGTACATTACATTTGATAAATTAAAACAATGTGAGCGTGACAACAAAACTGCAAACCATTTTAAGTTTTGCGTTTACAGAAAGCTCTTCCGTCATGTAGTGTGGCGACATCGTTGTGATCATCAGTAGAATATAAAGTAAATATCATAGTGCATAGACAAAACACGAATGAAGGGTACGACCTATTAATAATCTATGTTCTTGAAGTCTTCAGTACATCTGTACTTGCTGTCCTCATATCTGGTGCACACCAGGTGGGGCAGACATGGACAGGTATGATGGAGCCTTTTTCCCTGGTACGGAACCTGGAAATAACTGGATTAATAAGTGCAGACGTTTTGACAGTTTAAGCAAATAGTGTTTGTTTAAAGGTGAGAACACAGTGGGTGGATGTGGTGACTGCTGACAGCTGCTGCAGATCACAGTGATGTATAACTCTGAGAGCCCACTACTGTGTGGGCCAGATCAATATCCACTGCAGTTAGCAGCGTTTCCAAAGCCGTAGTCAACCTGTCAACACTGATCTGAATTTCCAATCAGCGTGTGTGCTGTTCAGAGGAGAGATTTGAATCCCAAACTATTGATTAGAGAATATTTTTATTTTTTAGTTGTTGTTTTTCAACTTTTAGATGGAATATGTTCGGTGCTGTAATGGTTCTGGCCCACCTTGTGACTTAAAGGATGGCACTCGTCTCCCTCCACTCCTCGGGGGACACACATCCTCAGACCTCTCAGCCACAGGCTAACGGCGCAGCAAAAGCCAAAGCCGCACTGAACGTCTCTCTCACAGGCCTGTAGAGACAGACACACGGAGAGAAAGAGTGAAAGAGACAAACAAACAGGGAGGACACTGGTTCTTTTTATGCCAGTTTCATTTTTGTCGTGCTATTAGAGACGTCATCTCATGTCATTTCAGCTAACGCCACTAAATCTATTGCCTGTCATCTGGCTAATCCAGTTACGAATGAATACCAATCAGAGCGCAGAGATAATTTCCTTCCTTTCTTGGTGGATCTGAAGGTAGTAGAGCAGGATGTGGTTTTTGCTCTGTGAGCAGTTGGATATAATCACATTTTACAAACGTGTACACGAAATATTATGTTTCAATTAAAATCATACGATTGTACATGAATGGCAGGAGATTTTGCTTAAACTTCACATTAGGTTGAAATGAATAAACCATTACAGGTTGAGATGTCTGTTTAGTTGGTGAGCTTTTACTCTTTTTTTAATGCTTATTAATTCAAAGAAATAATATTGATATAAGTGTTACCATCTGTCAGAGATGAACTATTTAAGATAAGATTGATTTCACATGTCCCTGTAAAACTTTTATATATATATATATATATATACATATATATATATCCAGCACATATATGTTTATTTATACAGTATATATGTTTTATATACATATATAATATATATTTATATATATATGTAAATGCTCTGTGAAAAATACATTCAACTATGATAAATAATGAATAATTATTATGGATTAAAGTGCTGTCACTCACCCCAGTGATGATGGCTCCTCTGGAGCAGCTCAGAGACACCAGCAGAAAGGACAGCAGCACCGCAGTGAAGCTCATGACAGCAACAGGAGGAACTCACACTGTCTCACAATGTCCTCAGCACCGGACAGCAGCTCTGACCGTGTCTTGTCAAACCTCACACTGGTGCTTCTTCAACTCTCCTCCAGTCATGAAAGATTCCAGAACTCCTCAGAGGAGGTGGGGAGGTGGACTCACTCTCTCCCTCTCTCTCTTCACTCACCTCCAACCCTATGCCACCCTGCCCAGGTCTGACATCACCCCAACACCTTCCCTGTCTCACCTCAGATGCTGGGTCACGTAACGGCTGAAAAAATGTGAGTTTAAATCTTACTTTTCTTTTCTAATATCTGCTATAAAGCAGGGCTAAAATCAATAACTCTGCTCTAAACATACACAGACTACGTAACTATCACGTGTGTCATTTAATTCAGAACAGTAATCCCAGTGGTTGTCACAGTAGTGTGTTTTTTGAAGGATGTTTTTCTACGGCATGGCCATAAACTGATTAAAGTAAGAATTCAAAAAATGCCAAATCTAGTTCATAAGAATACCAGAGAGAGAGAAAAAAGGAGTCGAATAAAATTATAGCTGTGAAATATTGAAATGTTAAGACAAATATAACATAATTTCAAAAAGCCAATGTCTAATATCCCTCTTACTAGTATAGTTCTTTATTGTTACAGTTACAGAAACAATGAAAAACAGTTTTAGTGTCTCTTCATTGACAGTATTAGTTACAGAGAAAACAGAACAGCTTTCTATAAAATACAATCTGTACACACTACATAGAATATATATAAACATACATAAAAAAAGAAAAACGTAATGTACAATCAGTATTAATATAATGTTCCAGATGATGATAATTATTAGCCATGAAATTGTACAGATGAATCTGAAGGGTATAAAAAAACTACACATGGTGTTCAGGGATAATCTATCAAATATAGTCAGATTTGACCAAAATAATAGACATTGGCCAAAGAGTGATCATAACCTGAAATTAAACAGCGTCGGGTATGTAAGAAGAATGTATATTTAAATATCTTTTCACGTAAAAAAAAATCTTTGAAAAATTTGATTAAAGGATGAAAGTATTAAAACCTTGGATTTTTTCATTATTATACCAGTAAATCTAACGCAACGAAATATAAAAGAAAATAAGTGTCAGTTGTCAACATTATGTTTCAGGTTCATCTAGTTCACGTGAACAGAGTTATGTGGCACATAACATAACCACACATCACCAACATGACCTGTTGACAGTATATAAATAATAATATGTCTCCTAGTAAATTATCACAACCATTGTCTTCATTGACACTGAGTTATAGTCAGTTCAGGGTTAACTCATCTACAGCGGTTGTAATGTGGACAATGGTTATAAATAATTTATGTTCTGTTCTTATCTCTGCTCTCTCTCTCTCTCTCTCTCTCTCTCTCTCTCTGTATGTGTGTGTTTTCGTGTGTGTGTATTTTCGTGAATGTCTGTGTGTGTGTGCGGCCCAGTCTTGCAGTGCATCTGTGTTTGCCTACGTGCAGCGTTCAGACAGTGATGAGCAGCAGGTTGTCAGCAGGGCGGTCGTAAGCACCTGATTTAAGCTGTGGGAAGAGAAATATGAGTGAAAGTGGGATTACAGTTATTGGTTAGTCTGTAGGACATTACCTTTCTCCGGCTGCACAGGTGATGGATTCCTCCAATGCAGTGGTCCCATAATTACATTCACCCATTTCTGCCTGGTCAGCATGAGCACCGAGGTCTCTACTCTGTCTTCAGAAAGGTTGCAGACATCACAGCAGTAGACGAGCCAGCTGATGGACGCCTGCAGTTAACCTTTAAAGTTAACTTCAACATAGACTTCAGACTGAAAAAAATGTTTTATTTTCTATACCAGTAGTATTTAAACATTTCAAAGTATTGTTATTGCTAAATAAAATTATTTGTAAAAAAAAAACCTATGTAATCCCTGGGAACCAAACAGAAGCTGAGCCGTGAGTTAGGATTACACATAGGGAGGAAGAAGAAGAAACTGAAGTAATTTATTTTGGATTTATGCAACATTGACTATCAAAATGAATGACTCAATTATGTAATAGAGTGATTCAGGCTTTCATTACTAATTCATGTTTTTATAAATCTCGACATATAAGGTAACAGTGACCACAGTACGTTTATCTAATGTCTTGAACCACTCCCATGTTTTTCTTCAGATTTAGCTCCTACAAGAATTTACCAACATAATCTTAAAGAACTTTTTTTGCTATTGTTGAATTATTTATTTTATTTTTAAGTATTGTGCCTATCTATCTATCTATCTATCTATCTATCTATCTATCTATCTATCTATCTATCTATCTATCTATCTATCTATCTATCTATCTATCTATCTATCTACTGTCGATTTCCATTCTGTTCATCCCTTTTCCACATTATTCGTGCGCGTTTCCAGTAGGTTGGTCCTCACGACGATCCGTAGATCACTTGACTGTCAGGTGACCTAGGCGGAAGTTTTGTGGCAACATTTTACGGAGTACTAACAAACAACACTTTATTTATAAAATAGACCTTTGTGAGCATTTTGGAACATTTAATCATGGAGTCGACTCTGGAGCAGCACCTAGACGATACGTAAGCGAATATCAAACACTGGTCAAGTTCACGTTTGAGATGTTTTCGAACGTTCGAGACGATTTCTCGATTTCTCTGCCTCTGTTCACGGGTGTTTGTATTTTGGCAGCATGAAGAACCCAGCAGTTGTCGGTGTGCTCTGCACGGATCAGCAAGGACACAATTTGGGCTGTAAGGATACGTTTTATAGCTTAAATACCAACTCAACTTCATGTTTTTTCCCTGAATGTGACCAAACATACCGAGAACGAAATTTCGTAGTACTATTGGAAATTAAATAACAATAAAAAACGTTATCATGCTTTCAGTGCGTTCAGTTCACGTTATATTCAAAATCCAAATTCTTATTATAAGGCCACGAAGTCGTTAAAGAGGAAAAATGTTAGCTGAATTGTCTGTATCGCCATAAAATGTAGTTTATTTAAACACAACTTTATTCTTCGTCTGTCTATGTTTACTTACATGCCAGACTACACAGACGAGGGGTTTTAGAAATTTTATAAAATATCGACATTTACTTTATTTTACATACATTTCCAAAGCATCTTAAGTGTGTTGGTATCAAACGTGGAGCATTTTTTTTTTCTCCCGAGCATGTCACCGTTTAAAATGTATTTTAATATTGTTTCTATTCTAATAATAAGAACAAATACACTTATTTTCCACTTCTTTTTTATTTATTCCTCAGTAATACCCAGTATATGTTATTTTTTACAATCAACAGGCCGTGGCTCCCTGACTGATGAACATGCGGGTGTTGTCTCAGTTCTGGCCAAACAAGCTGCAGTTCTAACCAAAGACCCAACGGACACTGCAACTGTGTGTTTGGAGTCTGAATTAGGGTGAGTACAAACACAGCTCTCAATCTACAGATCCCGTCTTGTATTCAAATAAATTAAATTCCATTAAAAGATATTTTTTAAAATACATTTTAGAACCAAACACAAAATAAACATTACACTAATAATAAACATCTGCACGCGGCTTAAAACAATTAACTGTTTTTCTATGACTATGCTGCCCCCATCTGGCCATTGTAAAAACGGTCTGCTTGACGATTTATCCATTTTCTATTGATACAATGTATTTTTAGGTTCCCAAATAATAAATAATATTTAGGTCAATTCACATCATTTTAAATTGTTTTAGTCATTGTAGAGATGTGATCATTGGTCCTCAAAGTGGGGTGTGGACCCCTTCTAGAGGGGCATGTAGCTATTGCACAGAGGATGCAGCAAGTCAAATGAATATCAAGTTCAATTTCTTTTTGATTTGTCTCACTGTGGGAAATTTGCATTTTATTTGTTTCTCTTTGTTCAATGAGAACAGCGGATTTGTAGGAATTCTCTTTAGGAATTCTATCTACAAAAGGGGGGGCACTGCAGAAACAGTTTTGGAAACTACCGTAGTAGTTTTACTTTTACAAAATAGCCCAAAATTCTCAATTATTCTCTACAACTTTTGTTGGAAACCTTTGGTCTAACAATGTTTAACTGTGTTTCCTTGTCATTCATGTAGAAACATTCTGGTGAGGAGTCATGGTACCATCACAATAGCAGTTCACAAGATAGCCTCCTGAGGACGCCACTCAAACAACATTGGTTTGTTACCTAATGTTCTAACAGGCAGAAACACTGAATACACAGTCATGTGCTAGACACTTTTTATTGGCCACTGTATTAGTCCATCTGTCTTAATAATGTTGTGTATGAAACAGTCAGTTCAATAATATATACATTAAAATGTACTCTTTTAGTGTATGTGTCCTCTTTTCTCTTTGTGTACAGCCAAATCCGAGCTACAACTCTTGACAAAACTTCAACATGACTGTGTTGACCTGTTAGAAAAGTATTGTTTCACAATGTTATCTTTTCTTCATTTTTCTCATCTGAATAAATCATTTGAGACATTTTTTAGAAAAAACATCTTTTTTTGGCAAATTTCTAATTTTGCAGGTAAAAAAAAAATTTTTTTCAAATTTTTTGGTAAAATCTTGGGCAGATGTTGAACAAAAATTTTATAAAAAATTTGGGATTTTAAACACAAAATAATCA